AGATGTTGGCAGGAGCCCTCACAATGCTTATGGCAGGAGTCAGCAAACTTTTTCAGCAGGGGGCTGGTCCACTGTCCCTCAGACTTTGTAGGGGGCTGGACTATATTTTGAAGAAAAAAAAGAACAAATTCCTATGCCCCACAAATCACCCAGAGGTGCATTTTAAATAAAAGCACACATTCTACTCATGTAAAAACACGCTGATTCTCGGACTGTCCGGGGGCCGGATCCGGCCCCCGGGCCTTAGTTTGCCTACCCATGGCTTATGGCAACCACAGTCCTTGAGGAACATTTCCAAATCAGTCTTACATATAAGTCCCAACCAGGCCTCAGTCATTTTTATTAACTGGCTTTCTCACATATTCCTATGTCAGTCATTTGCGTTATAACAATGCCATAAATGAGGAGGTGCAGAGGAGCACACCTAAGCCAGGGATGGGAATCTGTGGCTCTCAAGATGTTGCTGGACTCCATTTCCCATCAGCCTCAGCCAGCATGGCCAACAGCAGCGGAAGGACCACATATTCCCCATCCCTGTTGTCAGTGGCTGAGACTTCCCTCTCTGGTTTCTTGGAGAGGGTTGCTAGTCACCGCAGCTCAGCATGGGAAGAGCATAGAAGAGCCTTGCTCCTGTGATTTGGAGCATTGTTCTCCCATTGAAGGCAACAGAACACCCAGTCGTACAAATCTGCCTGGGGTCTGTCTACTGCCAGCGTGCCACCAAGGAGTCGACTGACTTTGTACATTCTAAGTAAGTTACGACAAGCGTCTCCCGTAAACGTGGTTTGCTGAAAGTAATAAAATTGTGGGACTGCTGTAGTGTGGTTTTTGTTCGGCCGAGTTTCAAAGACCTTAGTCTATTTGCTGATATAGCCCAGGTTCCATTTTCTGCATAATTCTACACTCCAGATGGAAGAGAATAAATAGCAGCAGTAGTGGTAGTTTGGTCAATGCACTTCTCCTATATTAACTCTCATATTATTGATGGTGTTCCTAATGCAGCACTTTGACTTCACCCCTGGAGGCGCACTCCATTGTCTCTCGAGTGTGGTAGCTGTAACTCTTGTTCAGCTGCTGCTTTGATTTGAGAGATTCACAAGGCCTTTGTGTCACAGCTCTCTAAAGTCTGTCTCTGGAGTCATGAGGACTAGAAACTGCACCCAGTACCTCATTTCCTGCTTGTTCTCATCTGCACATAGGCCTACCTATGGCTAAGTACTGTTCAAAGTTGCAGGGAGGTCTGTTTGCTAAATCTATTGCTGGGGGAGGATCAGCAAGTGAAATAGTAAGTAGGTGGCTCCTTTTCTCATACAGATGTTGGTGAATAGGCTTCTAGACTGCAGCATAAATCTTTGTTGTGGACCTTTTCTAATTAGGCTACGTTAACTTCAAAGCAGAGCCCCTGGTGAGTCTTAATTAAAAGGGAGGTTTGTAATATGAGTGTGCTCCCATCATGTTCTCTTTGCCAGTTTTTTTAAACATCTCCTGCTGTTTAGGACATTCTTTACATGGTAGGGAAGCAGTGGTCTTGTTTCAGGCTGCAGGGAGACCCTATAGTACAGATACTACGTAGGGGTAGAGCCCAGAGATTTGTCCGCCAGGGCCAGTATTTCCCCCTTTGGCCATGGCTTTCCTGGGACTTGGGCAGAGGCCTTTCCTGGCGCCTGATCTTTTCTACATGCTCTAACACTGAGCTGTGGTCCTTCACCTCTGGCCAAATTTCAGAAGCTGTGAGCCAGCTCTTTTGGCTGCAGAAGATGTCAAGTACAAGACAGGGTGAGGGCAGAGGTGGACAGGAGTGAAAGAAAGCTATAGGTCAGGAGTGAGGAAACTCCTGATTCATAGGTGAATCTTGGCTTGCCACACTTCCCATTTGGCCTGCAAGGCCCTTTGGGGAAAGCCCTGTCTATGCTTCACTTGGCATTACACAGTTAAGGGCAGAAACAGCTTCCACATCACCTGGCAACCACCAGCAGGTACCCAGCATGAAGCAGGATCTTCCCCCTCCCCCAGTTGGCTGATGCAAAGGGAGGGCTATCCTGTCCTGGTCCTTCAGCAACTGTCAGGCGATTGGCAGCACTGTCAAGGCAGATCCTGATAAGGATCTGGCCCATGGAGCCAAAAATCTCCCCCTTTCTGTGGGTGCACTTGCTCTCCTCCCCATATTTTTCCCGATGTGCATGGAAGCTCATTCCACAGTATTAAACATGATATTAATCTCTGGAAAGTCAGTTCAGTTTTCTTTATCTCTTTGGTATGTCATGTAAATGGGTCTCTGTGCCTCTGCTTACTTTAGCTTGTCAGTGTTTGGAATGCATCGTTTAAATTGGAGAGCAATTTATGACGTTGCTCTATTGCTGCAGCAACACTCTCTCTCTCTCTCTCTCTCTCTCTCTCTCTCTCTCCCTTTCTTCCCCTGCCCCATCATTTGACTGGAGTAGCATTTTGACTTTGTAGTAACTTCAGTATAGTAGCAGAACTTTGGGTCCGTTCATACACTTAAATGGATAGTGGCCAAATTCCCACCCTTGTACCAGACATCTGCCCGAAGGTAACATGTGAGCTGAAGCTAATCCTGAATCAGGGGTTTTCCAGTTCCCACTCTAAGAGCCACCATGAGTCAGTTCCACTGCTATGCCTGGTGACAGACTTTGGGGATTTGCTCCTGCAAATCAATGGTTCCCGCAATTCAATGTTAATGTGAGTAAATGCCTGGTGTGAGCATTATTTGTTCCTGTAAGGCCTGCCCACCCTGGCGTATTCTTAGGCCTGATCCTGCCACATGCTAGCTCTGAGTACAGTCCTTGGTAGCAGCATCTCCAGGCAGGGCTGGCAGAGAGCCCAGCTTGAAAGCCTGAAAAGTTCCCGCCCGTCAAGGTAGACAGTTCTGAGCTAGATGATCTGACTCTGTATAAGGCATACGTAGAAAGGGATCCCCCAGGATCTTTAGTCCCGCCCCCTGCAATGCAAAAATCTGGGCTGAAGCATCCGTGACAGATGGCCGTTCAACCTCCGCTTCACCAGCTCCCGCAGGAGACAGTTCCACTGTCAAACCGCTCTTCCTGTCAGAAAGTTCTTCCTGGTGCTTAGTTAGAAACACCTTTCTTGCAACCTGAAGCCATTGGTTCAGATACTCTCCTCCAGAGGAGGAGAAAACGTACTGTATTTTTCCATCTATAAGATGCCCCTATGTATAAGACGCTCCCTATTTTGGGGGACTCATGTTTAAGAAAATGGGGGGAGATGGTCCGGTGTATAAGATGCCTCCTAATTTTTGACATTTTTTTAAGGAAAAAAACCTAGTCTTATACACGGAAAAATACGGTACATACATAATTTTATTTGTATGCTGCCTTTTCACAGTTCAGACCATGCTCAAAGTGGCTTACAACATGAAAAAACATAACTACAACATACAGAAGTTGTTGTAAACCGTAAATAAAACAGTAAAAAATAAGCAACCAAGCTCAACAACTTCCACATAAATCAAAAGAAGATCTAAAGTGAAAATAGAAAAACCCAGCAATCCCCACCTCACTGTTACTCCTGCAAAGTTGTATACTGTATACCAAACTTGGGTCTCCAGCTGCTGTTGGACTACAGTTCCCATCATCCTTATCCACTGGTCCTGCTAGCTAGGGAGGATGGGAGTTGTAGTCTAAAATCACTGCTGTAAAGGGAGAGTGTTTATAGCCGGGCAGAGGTCTCTGAGGCCTGCAGCAGTCTTTGCACACATTTATACAACTCTTTCTGGGGTGGGAAGTTGATTCTCTTTGGGTAAAAAGGGTCATTTGCCAATAGCTGATAACAGTATACCACAGTATCAGCCGTTATTGACTTCTGATCTCTGGTTTGATGTCTTCAGATTCCTAGCATACACCAAAGCAAATATAAATTGCTTTCTAATTAAGATACTAATGTAAGAAGAAAGAACTAATTAGAGCATCAGTAGCAGTTCTGAGATTTTAAATGTGAGCATCTAATTGATGTTGCTATTTTAATCTGACAATTGTAGCTGTGGCTCCTGGGCAACTTAATTTCACTCTGCAGAAAAATGTAGGCGTGACAACTATGGTCTGCAGCTAACATTTGCAGTTACATTAAGGTCTTTTCCAATTAAAGAAATCACAATCACTTAAAACTATTTGCTTTTAAAAATATTAATAATTAAGAGTATAGATGTACTTGGGTTTACATAGGATTAAATACTTTTGAAGGAACAGAGTGTGCTCTTTGTTTTTTAGTTAATGCCTGATGTGACATGTGCAGGAATTGGAACAAATGCTTCTTGTGAGACTGATGCTGCTTCCCACACTTTTTGTGAACACTTAATGTATGTGAAAACAATTTTATTAAAAGATCTGCTGCCCATTCATTTGGTAGCACTTTATAATATTTGTTAGGAGAGGAAGGTTTTTGTTCTTAAAACACACACACACACAACTCTGTCTAACCATCCAGGGACAAAGTCATGCCTGCTCAGGGCTGTTTTCTGCCATGGGGCCCAGAGCTCTGGAATAGCTTCTCTTTTTCCTGCCGCCTCCTCCGCCCACGGAGACTCTGCAGGCATGAGTTAACTGATTAAATTACATTACACGAATCACTGCTTCTCTGCTTTTTAAGCAGGCTGGTTATACATACATCTGGAGCTAGGCCTGTTTTCTCACACCCTAAGTGGCCTTTCTCTCTCACATGCTCACGCTCTCCGTTTCCTTGCTTGCATCCTCTTCCAGGAAGGAGGTCCTGGGATATTCTTTAGCTAAGACTGTGCACACATTACTGGATTAAAAATGCAACTAGCTCCTTATTTTTCTCACTTCAGATAGAAGGTGGTTTGTGGGAAAAGACATCAAAGCACACTATTTCATAGGAAACAACAGGATGGAGGATAGATATGGATTGTACACCGCCTCCCAAACTGGTGGTGGGAATCCTAGAATTGTAGGGTTGGAAGGGGACCCTGAGGATCATCTAGTCTAGCCCCCTGCGGGAATATACAGCTGTCCCATATGGGGATTGAACCTGCAAACCTTGGTATTATCAGCTCCATGCTCTAACCAACTGAGCTGGATGGGAGGGCACTGGATGCAGAGTAAGCAGGAGGTGTACATGGCCTTAGTGTGTCAGTAGGTTAGAGGCTGGTTACAAGGTGATTAAAGAGCATGACTTTTTTTTTTAATTAAGGAAACACACCTAAAGTCCACTATGGTATCGGAAGCGGGCAGAGATAAAAGTAGATGTGCTGATGTTCCAAGCTAAGACAAATATGATTATTATTTTTTAAAACAGCCCCCCAAATCCAAAAGCATATTTATGAAATTGTGGCATATATGCAGCAGTGACAACCAAATGCTAATTCTTGTTTACCAGACCCAAAGCAAAATGTCTGATTTGTATAGAATAAACTTGGGTAATGGGGAAAATGTCCCTTTAGGCAGGCAGACATTGGAGCTTGTTTCCAGTATAGCTCCAGCACATTCTTCATATGTTTGTTTATTTGAACTAGTGTAGAGTTGCAAATCAGACAGTACCCAGTTCAGTCTCAGCTTTGCCATGAAGTCAGCAGTCTGCAATACGAATGTCATTATGCTACTCTGCAGGGCTGTTGTAGATTTTACAGCAAAGGAATTCATATGGAGTGTTTTGGACACTTAAACATGTTGTGTAATTGGGAGGAGGGAGTTGAGAGAGAAGCCTGTTCAAAAGTGCCAGAATAAGGAGGTGAGTTGTTAAACAGGTGTGGTGAATCCCTTTGTAACCAGGCTGATCTTGTCACGCTGGAGTGGAAGTGTAGTGACTACTCTGAGACCCCTGGTCTTCTGGCAGGTGCCAGAATAATAATAATAATACTCTATTTAGAATAATTTCATGAAGTTAACAGTTGAAGCACTCTTCTTGCTGGGAAGGGGTGTTTGGTGTTTGTGGTGATCAAATGGAGATAGCAAGTGCTGACTGCCTATGCTACTCTGAGCTCCTTGGAGTAAGGGCAAGATCAAAATGTGACAAAGAGCAATAAAACAAGCAAACTCGTCATGACTGGTCAAAGTCACCTGGGTGCGCTTCCTAGATGAACATGGAATTGATCCTGCATGTGCATTCAAGCAGCCTTCTAGAGCAGTGCCTTCTAGAGCAGTGTCTTGGAGGGCGTAATTCTACATTAAGAGACAAAGTTTGCCCACCCAGGAGACAAATGAGTGGTTGTGGTGTTTTGCAAATAAGTTGTTTGCAAGGGAGTAGGCAACTGTTTCTTCATAGGCCTCATTCTCATTGGAATGATGGACCTGTGTCCGCTGTAATGCTTCTGTCTGGGATTGCATTAAAAAATAATTCCTTCGATTTAGAAAATAGATGGTGAGGAGTAAATCTAGGCTGGAACACTTGGTGCCTCCATTGCTACTTTTATCTAATTTTGTGTGTGCACATAATTTTGTGTGTGTGTGTGTGTGTGTGTGTGTGTGTGTGTGAGCATTCCATCCTGCAAGTTCAGACACAGGTTTACCACATCAGTGAAGTCTGGGAGAAAAGCAGACTTCTACAAACAACTATCTTGGCAAATAGTATAGAGCTGTAACACTCGAGTACATATGATGCTAACTGGTACTGTGTTTAAAATAGTGTGTGTAAACATTTTTTGTATTTGTAGCCACAGTCGGGTGTTCTCAAATGTTGTATGGCTAACAAACCGAGAATAAATTATGCAAATATATGTGTGTGTGTGTGTGTAGATAGATAGATATGTATATCTATATGTGATTTATACAGGTTGCAGAATTCTACATTATAGAATCATAGAAACTTAAGAGTTGGAAGGGAACACCCGGGTCATCTAGTCCAACCCCCTGCAATGCCTGGGTGCAGAATACACAAATAGGCCCTTGAACAAGTTGTTGTCATCTTGTAAAACATGCCCCCTGTCCCTGGCTGATGAGAATATTCCGTTGGTGAAATATGCAAGACCACGAAAAGATTATTTCATATTAGTGGTGTGTTGAGAGTTGGATCGCAAGTTGCACAAATAATTATTTTCAAAGCCCATATCTGTCTGCTTTTTCAGCGGCTGACATCTGTGTTATTTCAAGAGATTACAAAATTCCAGGAAGTAGCAGAGTTTTTCCCGTTTTGCAAAATACAGATAGCATTGTTATAAGCAACATCTTAAATTTGTGACTTAAGAGTCTTCTTTCCCTGCCCCCCAAACATAGTAATTTGCCCCCGTTGCACAGTGATAGTCCCTTTCAGTTCCCTGAACTGCTGTGCCCCTTTCTCATCTCACTTTGCGAAAGGGAACACTGCTTCCGGCACATGTTGTGGTTCATTGATGGGTCAATTAAAAACAGATGAGCAGCAAGGAGGTTAGGGCTACCTGCATTGTGGTATTTAGCATTCAGTTTTGTGAAGGTCTGTATTCCTGTTTTAATCATAGCACCTGACAGTGGAATCTAAAAGCCGTCTGGTGGACCAGCTGTGCTGCAGCTGCAGGAATATTAGTTCATTGTATTCCAATTGTTTTTGGAAGCTTAATGTTTGTTTACAAGCCTTGCAGAACTATTTTGCAAGTTGTTGCTGGTCCTCTGGTGTAGATTTGAAATAGTTTGCAAGAGGACATTGAAATGATGTACTTGTACAATCCACTTGGATTGAACTATTCCCTCTTTGCTATATCCATCCATGAAAAGTCTTCCATTTTGAAAAATGCATTCTCTTAATGAAAGGACACAGTACCAGTCAAACTGGGAAATTGGAATGGTTTTGGTAACTGTCAAATCTAAAAATCAAAGTTGTACAGTGGTAGCTCGGGTTACATACGCGTCAAGTTACCGACTCCGCCATAAATATTACCTTGGGTTAAGAACTTTGCTTCAGGATGAGAACAGAAATCGTGCTCTGGTGGCACAGCAGCAGCAGCAGCAGGAGGCCCCATTAGCTAAAGTGGTGCTTCAGGTTAAGAACAGTTTCAGGTTAAGAACAGACCTCCGGAACGAATTGAGTTCTTAACCCAAGGTACCACTGTACTTAAGTTTTTCTGGGTGACTGTGCCCAGGAAGCGCATGTATATTTAGAAGAACGGGTATTTAGAAATACAAAAATTAGTGCATTAATAGTCTTAGTACATTCATGTTTTACTTAAAATCTAAGCAATGTAAGGGGAATGTATACTGTTGATTTTTTTAAAATAAAACATGTGGTTAAAATAAAGCAGGTTGGACTAATCTGTGTTTGAAGACAGAGGAAATGTTTCTGATTTAAAGCTTTCTGGAAAACCCATATCACTGGCTCCTGCTCAGAAACTGTTTGAGAGAGGCTGTTTGCTGCTGCCCACTGAGAGTTGCCTCTCAGATTTTCTCTTTCCCAGTAAGCAATATTCAGGGGCTGCGTGTAATCTGACTGCAGGCACAGAGCCAGCAAGATGCTGCCGCTTTGCCTTGCCTTGCCCTCTCCAGGCTTCTGAGCAAGCTGATACCTGGCCGTTTTCATCATGTAAATCTGTTTAATTGTTCTGTATGGAAAAGAAAACATGATGTAAGTAGGTCCACCTTACTAGCTGTCAGCCCTGCCCCAGTTCTCAGGGCTGGTGTCCCCTTTTCTATATCCTCCTTGCTCTACTGCCAAGCATAGACCCATCCACACCTGCCCTTCTGTGGACTCTCTCTGCCATCTGAGTGTTATGGTTGTGTTCACACTCCACAGGGGTCATTCCATATCAAGTGAGCCAACTTTTTTACCTCATGTTGTCCAATTTTCTTAATATTTTGTACACTTGTTGAATGATCAAAACTAAGTTTAAATCTAAAATTTTATTTTTTTATCTCATCCCATTTGTGAGTTATGACAGTTTGAAATGTCAAAAAAGACAATTTGGGCCTTGCCAAACTACACAAAACCTTAAAATCTCAGTCCAGAATTGAGATACGTCCAAGCTAAAAACACCAATCTCTTCATAACTTCATGGACTTTAATATGATATGTCACATGATGGTCTGACTTTAAATTTAAAATGTAAGTTACAAAATTGAAAATTTTAAAAAGTGATAAAAATGATTTAAAAATTCCAAAATGTTACTGATTATTGAATATTTCTAAGAGTTACCTGCAAAATTTCATCTTGGGATCTCAATGGGATCACATTAAAAGAAAAGTATTTTGTACATACATTTCTGCCTTACTGGGTTCTGTTTAGGATGAATGGGTTTTCTTAGAGGAAAATATAACAGAATAAACGAGACTTCAAACTATAATGTCAGTTACTTCATGCATTTCTTTAAAAAGTTATTCAGTTAAAAGGTATCTGAAAAGCTAGTCAGGCTTTTCTTTTTAAAATGTGTTCCAAAGCCAAACGATACCTTGAAAGAATTATTGCTTGTTCTGTGTGTGTGACCAGGATGGAACGTGCACTCGGGCAAAGTTCCAACCCCATCTTAACTTCTAAAATTCAAATTAAAGGGAGGTTCTTCCAAGGGTCATGCTTAGTGGATGTGGGTGATCTGCTTTCATCACCAAGCTTTGAAAAACTAGGCTCCAAGTTTTCTTAATGGATTTGGATGTTTTCTCCTGCTGTAGTGATGAGTGAGATGTGTACCAGCAGAAAACTGGCTTGTGTAGCATCTTTTGCATAAGAGTTACCATAAACAGAAGGATTCTGAAGCCTTGATAGTTAACACAGTGGATTAGCACAGAGATCTTATTGTAATGGTGCCTGCTTAGCTATTTTCTTATAGCTTTGTGCTAAAGACAGGCAAAGAAGAAGTCTTGAGGGATTTGCTACCCATGCAGGCTGCATAGTTAAAATCTATCTGACCTCCTTCCTAGGGCAGAAAGCCCAAACTGTCATGAGATATCTGTTCACATACCACGAGGTGAGCCCAAGGTATCCACTCTTAGAGGACACTCACAATCTCTGCATGAATCACTGCTCTGTCTTTGACTTTTTTCCATTCAGGCTGTCGGACAGGGATAGCGAACCTGTGGCACTCCGGCCGTTGTTGGACTACAAATCCTATAATCCCTCTCTATTGGGAAGACCTCCTATTCCTTCCGTAGGAAGTAATTTTGACCTCCCCCCCCCCCCGAGTGTGAGTTTGATCTCGAGACACAAGAGAGTTACTCCCACATGGAGAAGATTGTCATTTCCTATCCTGAGTCGCAGGTGTATCTCCATATTGTTATGAAAAAATCGCAAGCAGTGTAGCCAGAGGAATATGGCCAGTGACGCTATATACCTTTTTCTCCGCATAAAACTTCATGAAGTGGGTTCCAATTCACAAAGGCTTATGCGCTAACACATTTGTTATTCTTTAAGGTGCCACTAGACTCTTTGTTCTTTTTGCAACAGACTAAACCTGCTAACCCGCTGGAAATTTTGCTCACACGTGCTCCATGTGTGACTTCAAATGAAACCATGGACTGACTTAGCGGGCCACTTCAACAAGAGGCAGCTACAAGCAGAAACAAAAGCCAAAGTTTCAATTAGTCTCTTACACTGAGCCAGTTGTGCCACACACCTAATTTGGTATCTGAACTGCCAAAAGTCAAATTAGCATGTGGCAGAGTTGCCACAAAGCTAGCTTGGCGTGAGCTAAAGTGACTGGGAATTGATACAGCCTTTAGAGTTGGAGCTTGGAGGGCCCTGAGGCAACTCTGTCAACTTGTAGGTAGAAGAGGTAAGGAGAAAGTGGTGTCTTTGAAAACAGAGCTTGCTGGAAGACCACTTTGGGGAGTTGGGATTTATGCACTGGCTCACTCAGGGGCAAAATCAGGCTTTATTTGACCCAGGTCAAAGACCCAGTTTGGCATCCCTCATGTGCATTTGCATGCACACAGATTGGGAACCTAATTGGTGCCCCTCCAGAGGCTTCACCTGGGACAAAAGTCTGGCTACCCCCCGCCCCCCGCTCTGGCTCTGGCTTACCATCGTCACTTGCCTACTCATCTATTCAAACTACATCAGCCTATAAGGACTGCAAACTTCATTCATGGAGAAAACACACAAACAAATTCTTCCTTTTGAGTGGGATTTTTTTGTTTTTAATTACCAACTTAAAACTTTTGATGGGAACATTAACAACTTTGGGTATGAGATCATGTTTGCTCTTAGTTTCTGAAGCGCACTCTTCGGCTATGTGATTTCTCTCCTCTGTTAACTTTTATGAGCAGTCCTGTGGAAGTTGTGAATAATCTATGGGCTGCCCTTGAGGCATAGAATAGCAGATAGAGAACACCTGAGGCAGCCTCTGCCAGATCTAACCTTCCCAATGCACCCTACTATGCTCTGCATAATAATGGGAAATTAAGAAGAAACGCCCTGAGCTATGCATTTTTTTCTGCAGAGCAGGAATTCCAGCCCAAGTTCTGTTCATGAAAGGAATCCAGTGCTTCAGTGAACATTTCTGCCTGTCTGCTGGTATTCATTACGTGACTCAACGCTGCTACTCGTGTGCGGGTGGCAGGTACAATATGTACCTTTATGTTACTTTGCTTTGGGAGGGGTTTCTTGAGGACGGGAGGGGAATGCATAACATAAATTGAGATGAATGGTGAAGTCCGCCCCCCCCCCCGGTCATATGGTCATGTGTCTTATTTCCTTGCACTAAGGACAGGCAGTAAAGTTGGAGGAATACTGTTTATTGGGCAAGGGGCCATAATCCTGGCTGTTCCTTCATTTAATGGCTGCAGTTTGGATGCAAGCAAGCTCTTTATCAAATTTATTTAGCTAGGATTCTAATTCTCCTGTCCTCCCCCCTCCCCCTAAAACCTGGGTGACGTTTAAGTAAAGTTTTCTTTCATATGAAACATTGGAGTTACTAGGGCAACCAAACTGCTCAGTTACATGCATGCTGTGTCTTCCTGCTTGGATTTTTAATGTTTCCTGAGTGGTGTGTGTGTGTGTGTGTGTGTGTACGTACACACACACACACACATGAGATTGGGAGAAACTATAAAAACAAAACAGCAACCCAGTAATAGTAGTAGTAATAGTAATAGTAATAGTAATAGTAATAGAGAGAGTTCTGACAAGTCCAGAGTTCGTTCTTTAGCAACACTCCAAACTAGAATTTGTTACAACTAAACAGAAGGCGTTAAGATATGATTGCCTAGGGCTTGCCGATCAGAAGGTCGTGGTTTGAATCCCCGCGACGGGGTGACCTCCCATTTCTCGGTCCCTGCTCCTGCCCACCTATCAGTTCGAAAGCACACCAAAAAGTGCAAGTAGATAAATAGGTAGCACTCCAGCGGGAAGGTAAACGGCGTTTCCGTGCACTGCTCTGGTTCGCCAGAAGCGGCTTAGTCCTGCTGGCCACATGACCCGAAAGCTGTGCGCCGGCTCCCTTGGCCAATAAAGCGAGATGAGCGCTGCAACCCCAGAGTCGGCCACGACCGAACCTAATAGTCAGGAGTCCCTTTACCTTTACCTTTTACTTGACTTGCTAGTAAAGGGTGTGACTGATTTTCCATAGACACTAATTTTCATGTCTTCTACAGTTAGTCTTTGTCAATCTAGTGTAAGAACTGATTCTGTATTTGATACTTGATGGAGAACTGGATCGCTCTGAAAAATAGTGTTTAAAAAAGTGTTATAACCCCTTTGGTTGGTTGTGGGGGACACACAAACCACATTTACAGAAAACCTTGGCAGTTTAAAGAGGAGAAAAATGGGATACTCTAATTTGAAAGCGTGTGTGTGTGTGTGTGTGTGTGTCTGTCTGTGTGACATTGGATCAGAGCAACTGATCTGAGGCAGGGGGAGCTTAGTAATGCCCCCTTCCTGCCCTAAAATCCTCTCCCCACAAATGTGTATTTGTAAATTTGGAAGAGGGGAGTTTAGATTAGAAAAAGAGAGGAAAAGGTCCTCTTACTGATGACTTGCTCTAATTTGGGTCTCCCACAGATGCTTATAAAGAAGAATAAGTTTGTTAGGGGAAATTTGAACATGGACCTCCTCCTCTTGCCAGCCCATGATTTTCTTTGGTGCAGGGAGGGGGGATTTCCAAAATCTGCCAAATGACAGAAATGGGGCATAGTGGTTAAAACGTTGGGGTTGGATGTGGAGCTCCAGAGAATGCCCTGGTGGGTTGGCAGGTATGGTGAGTGACTTGGTGGACTGTACCCTCCTGGGGTAACGCGCTAACCAAGGCAAACTTGTCTGCTATTGCTGATTTCACTGAGGAACCTTTTAGGAGCCTTGGAGTTTCCGAGAACACACGTTTAAAACCACCACTTTGATGTGGGGCGGTGTAACAAAATGGGGGGGGGGGCAGGGGTCAGGGGAACTTTGTTGGCATCAACATTAATAAAAGAAGTCCAATACATTTTTCTCCCCATATGGGATCCCAGTTGTCTTGCTTGCCAAGACCTGCCTTCCAAATCAAGCTCTCACTCTATAGCAGACTTGAAAAAAGACACGTCTATTTTTTAAAAAAAATTATATTAAAGATTTTCTTGGTTTACAAAAGTACATGCTTTGCCTCTATTTTTTTTCCCCAGGTTGTAGAGTCCTTTTTACATTGGAAGTGAGACGATAATGTTGTATACAGAATAAAGTTGGAGCAGAAGGAGAGAGGAGGGAGGGGGTGGGGGTAATAATTGGTGTGTATGTGGCATTTTTACATCAGCTTCACTTGGTAGGTTCTCTTTCTGTTCATTTATTGTGTTTCCTTGGTAGTGAGAGGTTGGAGGAAGCCAGGACGTGGTTCATTGTCTTTAGTTGGTTACAGTGAGATTGTTGGGGGGGGGGGATTCTTGAGTCAGGTTAGCCATATTGATTTGTATGCTGTTGGTGGGTTCTTGTTGTCTTGCTGGGCTGTGTATGTGATAAAGGGGAGCCATAAAAGCGTCCACTTCTATTTGTTAGACACATCCATTTGAAGAGCATTAGAGAAGTTGATTCTCAACTCACAAATACACAGTTTCATTATTCTACCTGTGCTGCTGTCCATTTTGGGCCAGCAGCTGAACTGAAAAATTGCGAAACGGTTTGTTGGGTTACAAGCATCTGGAAACAGTTACTTATAGTCGCTGTTGGGCCTGCAGAATTTATGGGTTGCCAGGATTTGAATGGAAGTCTTGAGGGAAGGGGAAGTATGTTGTCAGGAACGCCAGAGAACCTGGTACAAGGAGCCTGGGAGCTGAGATTTAGTGATCTTCCAGAAATGATGTTTCTGTGGGCCTTAAAGCCCTCCTCAGACGCACAAGTGAATCAGTCTTAAGCTGGAAATACATCAGGTGTCCTCAGACTATTCTGTGGATAGAAAAGTTTAGCTATGATTCATTTTACTCTATTTTAAGCAACATGAGTATGAATTGTTTTTTAAATCTATCATCCTGCTCCCCATCTAGTTGAAATGAAGATGCACTTTTAACTTGTTCCTTGACAGCATCCATATACAAATGACTGGGCCAGGGAGGGAGAAGAACAGATCCATAAACGAGACCCCAGAAGGCTTGAGCTTATAGAGCAGCAGGCAGGTGTCCAGGCTTCTAAAATATATATTTGGCCGATCCAGTCCAAAGGTTTCACGTTTCCTGCCTACAACAACAAACGATTCACACACAGATGCTCATCAGTTTATGAGAATATTGAGGTGGCCTTCAGAAATGGAACTCCTGATTTCCCCTTAGAAAGCTGTTGCTTCCCAGGGGTTCACACGTGGTTGGAAGTTGAGAGGTGATGAGAAATCAAGTGGTGGGCATGCACACATGCATAAATAAGCACTCCTAAAGTGAAATAGACCTGGACCTGGTCACTACTTGGATGGTAGACAGCCAGGGGATGTCACGTTTCCCTGGAAAAAAGCCAAAATCCAAATGAAACAAAGCACACTAAAATTATACCTCTTTGGATTTAAAGGTTTAGACATCATCATCATCATCATGATGTGTCAATAGCTTGTATTTCAAGTTGATGGCTTTGGTTGTGGCAGAAAATAGCCTCTTGCATCTGCTGATAGATCTGAAAAATAATTATGGGCTTTACCACTACAGATTGGAGGCAAACAATACAAAATTTGAACCCTAACCCTAAAACAAACTCCTTTATGCAGTAAATTAGCACACCAAAGAGAGTTGCATAGTATAAATCATGCATTTAAATTGGTAAAATTCCCCTAGATACCCTTCCAGGCTTGCTTGGTGCTGCCCAGCCACACAAATTAGAAACAGCCCCTGCAAGTAATCATTCCTCCCCAATGTGTCAAGGAAACCTGAAACTCGAACATATCATTATCTTCAATGAAGTACATGGTTCTATAATAAGGCATTGAACTGTCTGTGCTCCGTTAAAGTAATGCTGTAGAGCAGAGGAGCTGAGGATGCCTAACTCACGTCTGAGTAGGATTAGTAGATGGGTCAGTTGATGCAGCACAAATTGAAAGAAATTCACCCTCACCTTTGTATAGCTGTTTATGGCTGATGATACTTGCAGAACTGTTTCCTCTGTAGCACTAGCAAGCAGGGTTGTGTCAGTTCTTTTGAACTTGAGTATCCTGTAAACAGAGGGGTAGATGGGGTTACCTCTAGAAGGGCATTTCCTTTGGGAGTGCACTTCCTTTGTAACCTAATGACTGTTCAAATACAGCGTTCAGCATGCATTTCCTTGCTCTCCGCTACTGGGCTTCCAGTTATGGGTTGCATGCTTGGCAGTGTGAGGCTGCCGCTGAATCTACATCTGAAGCAGCAGCTTGGAATACCTTGGTGTGGCATTACAGGAGCTACGTCATGAACTTTGTAAATACAGTATTAGAAACATACCGTAGTCCGTCTAAAAACTGCTTGCTAATTTTGTCCTGCTTTGCTACACCACAATGTCTGTTTTCAGCAAGCTGTTCAGTGGCAACAGCTCTCACACACATTTATAATGAGAGATTAATTATCTGTATCGTGTAGATGATGTAAAAATAGCTGTATTAAGTTTTAGCCTCTTGGTTGTGGGGTTGTTGTGTAGGATCTGTGAAACAAATGATAGTGTTTTATTTGCCCAGATCTCCATTTCTTTTCATATTTTCTTGTCCCTTTGACTTGATCTTACTTGGCAATTAAGTGAAATATTATTACAGGTCTTAAAACTCACTTTCCAGTTGAAAAGAGCAGTGCACACAAAGTGATTCAATGCTCTCTCATCAGTACTTATTGCACATGTTGCCAGTTAGATACATTTCTTGAATTTGAGCTAATTGCACAGAATGTTCTAGCTATGGAATAATTTGTGATTATGGAATTTGAGTGTGTATTTAAGCAAAGAATTAAAGACCCTGGCAGGGTTGGGGTTTGACTGGATTCCCCTGCCCTGCCCCACCCCACACACCTTACTCAGATATTGGTGCAATAAGTAAAATATTTAAAGTACTGATCTGAATAGCAGCCGAGAGAATCAACTTCAAAGTTATCTACAGTTCAGCCCCTCTCAGAAACCTTTGCAAAGTATAGTGCCAGATCACACAAAGGCTCCTTCTCCTTACAGCAAATTAACGCCCTGGCTGGCAGCCTAACTCGTGGGCGGTGTTGACCTGGGCTATTGTGAGCACAGTCAGAAAAAGATGGTGGTTCCATGCAGCATGAAAATGAATACAAACTGAAACTTCTGCTGGTCAGGATTCTCTTTTGATGCAGAAGAGCTTATTTCTCTCACTGACATCCCTGTGGTGAAAAGCCAATATGCTTGCACTGGAAGGTATAGTGGAAAACCACAAGAGCTCTTATAGCTTCAAAGGGTATTTGATAAGCTTTACTCACAGACAGATAGGTGGCCTGTTTGTTGATATTCCAATATTTTTGGCTATGCTAGTGTGTGAAAGTACAAGACAATGAAATACTGCTGCTTAGCTTCTCCTGTCATTTTTTTGGAATCTGGAATTTATTATTACCCTCCCCTGTTAACCACCTCTTATTATGGTTTTCCATAAGTAGTGATTGTACCTTCTCCAGGGATCATCATCCCA